CCACAGACATGGACGACTGGGCATTGGGTCCCAGTGACATTCCTTTATCCAGGATAGAGGGGTGTTTAGCTCTAGGAGAGATGGAAGTGCATCATATTCTCTAACCTACCTGTGTCTGTGGTTCTTTGGGCTTCGGCCTGTTTGTTGTGTGCGACCAGCATTCAGTGTGGCAAATCCTCGACTTTGGAAGTAACCTTTCCTGGAGGTGAAAACGGGCAAGTACCCGTAGCTCACGGGGACACTCAAGGGCAACGTAACTTTCCGCAGTGTGAGGGTAACGGTTTGTAGGCACTTATGCAAACCAATCCCTGTCTCTGAGCACGGACGGTATGGTTATCTTGAGTGTGGGGGGTTCTTCCCGGAACCTCAATTGAGTCAAGGGTGTCGCCACCTCTGGTGGATAGGTTCATCCGGGTGCGTCCCACTTCTATACCTGCCTCCTTTTGGGAAACCCTGATGGCCTGGCAGTGATGTTGGGTCTGACGGGCAAACGAAGTAGATCGGGTGCTGGGTCCGAGCCCGCCAGGGGTATCTGGGGATCTATCGCTCTGGTTATCTCTGGTTTCCCAGCAACTGGGTAAGGCCTCGATCGGGTAGTGGTGTAAATGGGAGGTTGGGGTTCGCTGACGGTCCCCTTCCTTCTGGCTATTGATGGCGGGTTTGCCTGTCAGGGATTAGATAGGTCCCGAGTGTTACTTGCACTAAATGCGTCGGGGCGCTCTACCATGGTCCTCTAGGTCCCGACCTAGTGGAACCCAGGTGGAGTGACGCTTAAACAAGTAGCCGGAAACCCTGGTTAGGATTGAGGGGCAACCCTCTTTCCGAAGGGTCTGCTTCGGCAGCCGGTGAGCCTGATGACCTTAAGTCATCCGCCCATGATGTGCAAAAGGTTGATGCGTAAGCTTCGGCCTACATCATGGGGCCCGGGTAAGTCTCACGATAGGTACCGGGTATGTAGTCAGGGGGCTTCGGCTCTCATGACAAATATTGAGTTGCTAGGTATAAATTGACAATACATTTTCCAGGACAAAGTTGTTAATTCTGTTGGTTTTGTCCAGATCCTACAGCAAGCTGGACAAGAAGTGCCTGAATGGTTGGACTCAGGATCTTACGGAGGCGGCGGCGGCTACCAGGGCAGAGGATTCGGAGGACACGATTACCGAAAGGTGAGAGAGAGACTGTCTAAAACTGTCGGCCAAGTAATTGGTCTGCATGGTCAAGTGTTTGCTTGGCTATAGTATGCACGGGGTCATTTGAAACTTATCCAATATCAAAAATTAAACCAGTGAAATGACGTTTGCCAAGTAGTTGTGTAGGGTGTCTTCAGTTCACTATTACTGATGTCCCGGATAACCGGTATTTCAGTTGGTTCCCGAATGTCACCGAAAACCCTCAGAATATAGTAATCCTCAATATTTATTACTTATATTTTTATAATTTTTACCAAGGAAATAGTTAATTCTCCAAAGCTTGAGATATTTTTCTGTCTGTCAGTTTGGGGGCTTTTTTTAAAGAGTTTGAGTGTGTTATCTTGTTGTCTCAAGAGTCGGCAGGACCGCCTGCCATCTTGGATTTTCTGTCCATAACAGCAATGTTAATGGTTGAAGCATATTATGGCATTGTTTATTAAAGTAAAACAAATTTAAAATATCTCATTTTAAAACTATTGAAACCGCAATTTGCGATTTACTTTTTAATGTTAATTATTATTTCGTCAATCCACATAATTATTAAACTGTGATTTTTTTCAACCTCTAAAGCAAAAGTTTTAAAAATCCGAAAAGCAATTCACATACAATTTTTTCCTCGGTAATCAAGCTTACAGTGCATGATTAATATGCTTCAAGTGAACGCATGTTTTTGCTGATCTGTGCTAGGACAACTGTTGTTTAGCTGGTATCTGACGGTCAACAAAAATGCAAAACTATTGACTCTTAAGTTAATATTTCATCATACATTACTGTGACATTGAGGGTTTAACATAAAACACATGGGCCTAGATTTTTAGGTTTTTTGAGAGAAAAGCAGACTTACCTGTATCGGAAAGAGTCCAATCTGACATAAGAAACACAAAACTTTACACTATATACACAAAACATTAGAATATTTCACTGTCACTGACAGCATTTTCAACTAAGGAAGAGAGAGGGTTTAAAACTCTTTTCCTTCTGTTAGGTGCTGTAGTAATTCTTAGGTGGGAAGTAAATATCTCCTTTTAGAAATACTGTTAGGGAGTTTGTGCTTTACTATTGGATTTAATTTGGAAAAATACAATTAATATGATCCCTACTGACAACGTTATATTACGTTTCAGGCGGACTCATTCAACAGTGGGCCTCAACCACAGGCCGCAGAAACCGAAGAAGTATGGTGATTGTTCAAACTGGTGTGTGTGTGTGTGGTGATTTTCCTAATCGTGAGCAAAACGTGGCGAACTGTGATTTTTCATGTGATACATGCATTCCTGGGTCCTGCGGAGGCAAGACTGAAAAAAACATTAGTGCCTTTGTTAGTGGAACAGATCTTGTTTTGAGGACAATTTATATCACATGCCCCGGTGCGATGTGAGCAGTTTGTATTGTACCTACACACATAGCTATAAGAACGATTTTTTGTTTTTGTTACGTTTATAAGTTGATTTTTAGTTTATACGCGATAAGACGTTCTAGTTATAGGTCTGTTTATTTACCATTACGAAACAACTCTTCCATCACTTTTCTCGGTGCTTCAGACCAATGCTATTGTTACTCATGCCAAAGTAAGATTGAGGCAATGAAAAAAAGTTATATGTTTATGTGTAGTTCAAAATATGACTTGTTTATGTGTATTCGAGATATTAGTAAGTGACAAATTTTTACTTGAAATATGTTACTTGTTGTAAGTTTAGTACTAAACCAGAACTCCAACTTTCCAAATCAATTGAAGCCAACACAACGGAAAATTAACATTTTGGATGATTTTTTTACTTAAATTTGGGGTATTAATAGAAAATACGCTGAGTTGAGCTTTTTACCATCACAGTCGCAGAAGATGTCTCAAAAATCTTTTACCGTGATAGCGGATGAAGTTCCCATAACTGTGGCAGACAGTGATGATGTTCGTGGAAGATGTTCAGGTTTTTCTGTGATTTTGGCTTCTCCCTAATAAAATTTTGTATTACCGTAGTTTAAGGTTTTGTATAATTCTTTTTGTAAGCGCTTCGTATGGTTGGAGTTCAGATAATAGGAGTCCTACTATTTTTCATTGGGTAATAAACAAATTGTACGTATGAGCTTGAATTGCCTAAGCCACACAATTTTGTACAATTTCAAAACTACTTAATTGAATATAACTACTTTGCACTTTTTGCGTAATTTAACATCTCAAGTGTTTTTTATAATTTCGAACAAGTAAAGTTGTTTTTATAAAGTTTTGTTTTGTTTGACTTGTTCCTTGGTCCTACTTATGACACATCATAAGCAAGTATGTGTCTGGTGTTTTGGATTTTGTACGTATTTTATGCAAATGCTAAAATAAGAAAAACTTTTCCTCCAAAAAAATTGAAAATTATTTGCCTTCACTGTCAATTGATTTGCACATTATGTCATGTGTGGGTTTTAAACAGCAGGGAGTTTAGTTTCAAGCTTTGAATGGACACCAAAAGTAGCACATTCAATTTGTAGATTTCTTGAGTGGTGTCAATGTTTGTTCAATTATGAAAACTTTTCTCACCATTGTTGTGGTACAATATTCTTTTTAATGCGTGAAGGAAGTAAAACCACATACACAACTAAGTCAAGAAAATAGTACCTGGCAGTTATAACACATGTACACAAATCTTAAACTTGATATTTTGTCTTTCCGGGACTTGATGGAATCAGTAAAATCGTAGATAAAACATACTCCCTTAGTATATTTCATTTCCCACCCTTACGGAACAGCTGAAGCCAATTTTATTGTTAGTTCTGTCCGGTGCACTTGTTGTGTTTTGTTTCTTGCTATTTCAGTCTTTTAAAACCCCGTTTGGCCAAAGAAAATTACATAATCATAAACAATAACTCATCCTCTAGTTGTAAGTTATAACGAAACAGTAAAGCACAAATCATGAAATTAACTCTAAAATAATAGAAACAAAATTTTTGTTGTAACTAGCCACCAGTGTCGCCGAACATGAACTAGACACGAAAAACGAGCTTCGAGTTAGTCTATGGTAAAATATCAGTTACAAAACTGGCTCTGTTAAATCTTTCTCTAATCAAAAATTTTCACAATACCTAAATCCTAGCTTACCTAATCATCCTAATTAAATCCCGCCATTGAAATTTACTGCCATACCCTTGCCGCAAGAGAGACACCATTCAAAGTAGGGATGAGCATCGATAGGTCAACCCCTGATGTACCGAAAACATCGATGTTGTTGGGACTAAAACATCGATGGTTTTTAATAGTTTTTGTCTGCTTTTTGTATTCTCCAGTAATGGAAAACATGGATATCTAAATATGAATATGTGGCCGAAAACATCGGTCACCTACTATCGATGTAAACAACATCATTAGAAAAAGTCATCAATGCTCTAATGCAAAGTGACTTCTGGCTTTCCCAAGATGGCTGACTCATGAGGACACTTGGGTCTCAAGGTATCCTCGCTTAGGTTATTTTCCCTCATGTAAGTTTTTCTCTATTGTATATACTTTCCTCCATCAACTGCCAGTAACTCTTTTATTAGGTGGGTCGATGTGCGTCCTTTAAAAAACTAACCTTACTATTTCAAACATCACTTAAGTGATTTTGTAGTTTCTCCACAAAGAATTTGATGTTTCCGAGATGGGTGCAAATATGCCTCAAAACACCAAATACTCTACAAACAGCATGCTGGAACTTCGGTACAAATAAACCATTATACTAAAAAAAAAAAGATGACTTAAATTTTAGTAAGAACATTTATGAATTAAGCACTGAATGATCAAAGAATACATGCCTGGTCAATATTTTAATTCTTTATACAGTCACAAACAAAAAATTACTTCCTGCTAATGTTGGGATTTGTCAAGTTGAGTTCAGTAGTAGGTGATGAAAAAAGAAAAGAATTTGATATACCAGAGTTGTTCAATTCCTTGATCCTCTCGAACATGGAATATCCCGAAACAGGATTTTCTTCGTCTAGATTACCTGTATTTTGTATGTTTACCTTTTCATAACTTATGTCTAATGCTGATATATTTTGCCCATCTGCACAGTCTTGGTCCGGTTGTTCTTTCTGAACTATACCATAGTAAGTTTCGTTTTTGTCTTTTTCTTTTATCTCCGTTACTGTTTGTGTCAAGAAATCTACCTTTCCTTGGTGGTTAACAGATTCCAGAACTACTTTATAGTCAGGTTCCCTAGACGATTCTACTTCATTCACATTGACTTTTTCCTGATGGAAAAATGGCTCAGAGTGCATCCCTTTGTTTTTGTTTCCCAAGATAGTTTCTTCTGCTTCAGTTCCATCTGACGTAATAGTTCCATTTTTATCATTAGTTCCTTGTATTTCATCCTGATGATTTGCTTGATGTTTGTTATTCCTTATTAAACTGCTGTCTTGATTTTGCACCTTTTCTTCTAATATAGTAAAATACCTTTCTTCATCAAACTCCACAATTCTGCAAAAGATGTCTGCAGCATTTTTGGCTTCATTCAAAGGAAAAATTCCATTCATCAACGGACTGTCAGGATTGTGAGGATTTTCGTTTGTACAATCATATGATCCACCCTGATGATTCGCTTGATGTTCGTTATTCCTTGTTAAACCGTTGTCTTGTTTTTGTGCCTTTTCTTCTATCACAGTAAAATGCCTTTCTTCATCAATCTCCACAAATGTGCAAGGGAGGTCTGCAGCCTTTTTGGCTTCATCCAAAGGAAAAATTCCATTCATCAACAGACTGTCAAGATTATGAGGATTTTCGTTTGTACAAACATATGATCCACCCTGATGATTTGCTTGATGTTCGTTATTCCTTGCTAAACTGTTGTCTTGTTTTTGTGCCTTTTCTTCTAACACAGTAAAATGCTTATCTTCATCAAACTCCACAATTCTGCAAGACATGTCTGCAGTCTTTCTGGCATCAACCAAACGAAAAATTTCATTCATCAGGAGATTGTCATGAGCATTATAATTTACATTATCCTGACGATTCGCTTGATGTTCTTTATTCTTTGTTAAACTTCTGTCTGAGCCATCTTGTTTGTATGCTTCTTCTTCAATCACAGTAAAATCCTCTTCATCGTCAAGCTCTACAATCTTGCAAGGTATGTATGCAGCGTTATTGGCTTCATCCAAAGGAAAAATCCCATTCGTCAGAAGACTGTCAAGAGTATAAACAACATGTTCAGCTTCCTGGAAGATACAATGGTCGTACATGTTAGCCCAGAAACCATTCATGTAGTTTGGCATTTCGTGTGCAGATTTTGTTGTTTCGTTTTGATTTACTAAATCTTCAAGAACAGCGTGTGTTTCGACATTATTTATGAACTCTGTCCATGTTTTGTCGACAAATTCTGTTGCCACTATGGCACTCGTTTTGACTTCTTCTGAGTTGTTTAAATTGGCTACGCCTATGTTAGCTACAAGATCATTCTCTAGATTGGTTTCATTCCAATAGCAGTAACTGGGGGTTTCATCTTCATTCTCGTAAATGATATGATTTTCAACTACATTCTGCAAGACATCAGTTTGATCAACTCCAGATAACTCTTTTTCATAGAATTCACCAGTTACTATTTGATCACTACTGTTTTCCTTCGATAAACATTCAACAAAATAAGCAGCAACTTCTTTTTGAGGTGTGTACACATTTGGGTAGTTGTCATGTTCCTCTTCTTGGGTGTAGAACGAAGACATATAGGAATTAATGACGTCTTTAATATCTTCTATATGTTGACATAGATCTGATAATAAAGACTGAACCTCCATCGATGATGTTTCAACTTTGTCACAATTTACAACATTATCAAAAACTTGGTAGATGTCCAGTTCATGGTCATTCTTGGTTACCAGTATGTCAACTTCATTTGTTGTAACAGCACAATTAACCTTGCATGATTGAATTTCCGAAGGAATTGAAATTTGATGTTGAGATAGTTTACTCTCTAGTAGAATGCCAGAAGACACAACTAGTTGGGATGAATCAACTTCATGTGAATCATTTACTGGGTTTGAAGAACTTATTGTCCTCGGACAATCCTCTCCAGATGGGATTAAGAGTTCTCTTGCTGGGATAAAATTGTCAGACAGGTTTCCGCATAGGTTTGATGAATGAAGAGATATAAGCAAGGGTTCTTTACTATCATTACCTGATATTGAGACATTGGTTTGAAAATCATTATTAGATTGTATTTTCTTCTCAATGTTTTTCCCCCTCAAAATTTCAGGGTTGCCCATCTCTGAAAAACAAACAGTGTATTTTAAGTTTACAGTTTGTACCTGTGAATTTATTTGAATAAAGAACTTCCATGGAAAAATATTGGTACATGGTTGAAATATTGTGCTGTATTTTAAACGTGAATCATGATCATTTATCGTGGTAGAAATTATTCACACTTTAATTAAAATATTAATCAAACACTTGGGATTGAAATGGTGTTTCTGTCAGTGTATTATGGCTTATGCAATTGATAATAAACATTTGACATGATCTGGTAAATAATAAAATGTTACAATAAAACCATAATAATTATGGTTGGTTATTCAATGGGTATTTATGCATGTTGTTGTTAAGCTAATAATAATAAGCAAGAAATTATAGTAACAATCTATCAATAATAATTATCAATCAATGGAGATTGGAAGGTAGTTGCCCAGTTGCACCGATGGTCATTTTAGGATGATGCCCAGTTGCACCGGCGGTCAAAGATCCCTTTCGCCCTCCCCTCCCATTGAAATGTTGTTAAACATAGTCAGTACGGTACGGTAAACGGTTAGGTTAGGTTTACAAAAAATACAATTCAGTAAATACTTATTTCACGTATATTTCAAGACAAAGAAGATAAACGTTGGCAAACTTATATGATAGTGTGTTGATATCAGCCTATGTCTTTGTAATGTTTATTTGTTACTCTTTACCCCGTACCAAAGAAAGGGTTATATGCTAGTTCCCTATATATGGTAAATATTTAGCGCAGACTATATACGATGGAACGTAAAAGAGGGGATAGGTATATAAAAGCGTCCGAGGAGGGGAAGGATCATCCAAGGGTCACTCTTGGGAGGGAATACTTTGTCGACCCTTGCAAATTCCTTTAACTATCGGTGCAACTGGGCATCAGCCGATTGGGACGCCACCTAAGGTTTCTAAAAAATATACATTGCAAAAACTATAATTTGAGATAAATAATTCCAAAATTTGAATAAAAAACATAATGCATAGTGTATATGTCGGCACTTCAAGAACGTAAGAATTATTATCAGACAGTTTCAAGTACTAAAGCTGCTTCTTGTCCTAAGAAACTAAGAAAGGAAAATAAAATTAGAAACTGCGTAATTTTCGTTGTTTAGGAAATCCATCTTATAATTTATTGGGTAAATATTATTTTGTTATATTCGACAGTTCAGCTTTAAGCAGTTGGTACGATATATAGTTTTAGAAACTGGCAACACTGACTCGTTATCAAGCAGTAGTAAAAATACCCCCGCCGCAGCAAACCTGCAGACTAAGCGAATTTCCATTTGACTGATTGGATTTACACTGAAATGTCTACTTAAAAATATAGCATTTATTCCCGATTTAAATAGAATTAGTTTAACAAGTACTTAGGTTTGCTGCATCAGGGAGGGTAAAACTGTTTTTTTTGTAAAATGTTAATAGTTGGTAAGAAATAAAAACATTTTCCAAATTTGATCAAAATATGTTCATAAACAAGCAAACTACAACAGTTTACTCATTCTCCATAAGAATAACATGGGAATTTTAAATTTACAATTTTTTTGAATTTTCTCCGTAACCATTAGGCGCATAATAACGCTTCAATATACTAAATTATTTGTTTTTTTAAGCTCTACAAAATGGTTTGGAAATAAATTGCTAAACTTTATGTTTTTTGGGTCAAAAATGGGAAAAACCTATTTTTACCCCATAAAACCCCCCGTAAACACCTGTTCCCATGGTCCGATCATGCTGGATCGCGAACTCGTTCGAATAAACGTAGGTTTACACGTTTGTACCAAATTTCATCAAAATCGGATCATTTTTGCTCGAGTTATCGTGCTGACGGACACACATATATATATATATATATATATATATATATATATATATGAATTTGAACGGATGGTGTTTTTGGCCTCTAGGGACCTCAAAACGAAAAAAAAAATCGGTCCCGCGTCCAGGTCTTACCATGAGTACTACGGTAATAGCTTATTCCCTATATGGGAAATTCGCTAAAAAGTCGAGCAATTACCCTCTTTCCGGGTATTTTAGTAGTGCGGGTAATTTTAATATAACGGGAATTTTTTCATGGGTAATTAAAAGCCGACTGGGGAATTTCAGACAGAATCTTAAGGTAATGGAAATTGAGAAATTACAACTTTGTAGTTGTGAAGTACATCACACGCCAATCAATGCAATGGTGTCTTGACACACTACCAGACCAGACCGTCTGGCTGCAACCAGACCGTCTTGGGCGGCTCTACACACTCCCAGACCAGACATTCCAACATTCGTAATTGAGACACCGTGGTGAGAACTCCAACAAATGGATGAATGAATAGTGAATACTGTCACGATGGTCGGTCGTCTGACAGACAGCGCTACACACTCACAGACCAGACAAAAATAGTGGTGGGGGAACCTCAGACCGTCTGTGGTCTCTGAGGGTTCAACCATCAGACACGCAGACAGTCTGGTCCGAGAAAATCGGTCTGCAGACATCCCCACACACGATAAGACAAGTGCCAGACGCCAGACCAGACGGTCTGGTCTGGAGGTCTGGTCTGGTAGTGTGTGGGGGGCTTTAGGTATTTTCCGTTTTGTCTCAAAAAAGGTTGTTTTATTAAATTAAGTTCTGCAAATTAGGCTAAAAAACAAGACGTTATAAATTATCGGCAGCATTATTATGTTCGAAAAAGAATACATTCTATTTAAAGACATTCTTTTAGTTTTATAATTGGTTTCAAAGCCAAAGAGCTTTAAACATCTTGTTGTCAAAAGTATTAAAATTCTATTGTCGACTTCCACAGCACCTTCTCAGGAGGTAGAATGGCTAGAAAAACTATTTTATTTTTAAAAGTCCTGAATTTTTGTCTAAATTCTGAACTGATTTTAGAAAAAGAAGTTTCCAAGTCCAAGTTACTGTAACTTACTTCTAAAATTTATCCATTTATTTGAAAATACTTAGTCATGTCATAATGAGGATCAAAACTCAGAAATGAATTAACTACACTGTTATTGTGGTAAATTACAATTACCCACTTTGTAATTTATCTGGACTGAAAATTTTATTTGGGTAATTCTACCTAATAAACGGGAAAATGAAGTAATATTAGGGACATTTTATGATATTAGATTCTCAGACTATATAACGGCAACACTGCCTCACTCATTCATTAGTGTCCTGACAATGTCAATGCCCACTGCCACTGCCACTACTACCAGTGCCATTGCCATATTGATATTGCAATTTATTACAGTTAAAAAACTCAACTCTCTGTCCGTCCGCTGTCGTCTGTCTCTGTGAAGTGAATTGAGTCTGAGTCTGTGTGTGATCAAGTTTGTGAATTTTATGTGTAGGTTATGTTTGTCATGAAAGTAAATGTAAATTAATTCATTTTGTTAATAGTTCAAGTTAATACTGAAAATGGAAGTGGTTTCAAATAGTCCAGACAATATGCAAAGACGTTGGAGCCATCTCAAGAAAGTGCTAGAGAGATCTGGCCCTTTTTGTCATCCAGATTTTGAACCTTCGCCAGAAAATCTAAATTTTATTGGTACCTCTTGCAAACTGTTAGTTATCGGCGCCGGCGGATTAGGCTGTGAACTTCTCAAGGATTTAGCTTTAATGGGGTTTAGAGAGATACATGTAATTGATATGGACACAATAGACCTGTCAAACTTGAACCGTCAATTCCTATTCAGGAGGAAAGATATTGGATCATCCAAAGCAGAGGTTGCTGCCGAATTCATTAACAAAAGAGTTCCCGGTTGTAATGTTGTTCCGCACTTCAAGAAAATTCAAGACTATGACGAATCTTTCTACAGACAATTCCATATTATAATTTCTGGTCTTGATTCAGTTGTTGCTCGTAGATGGATTAACGGAATGGTAATATCTCTCCTGTCCTACGATGAAAATGGAGATCTTGATCAATCCTCACTGATCCCGCTAGTGGATGGTGGAACTGAGGGATTCAAAGGTAATGCTAGAGTTATACTTCCTGGAATAACTGCTTGCATCGAATGCACCCTGGATCTGTACCCTCCACAGGTTACATATCCTTTGTGTACAATAGCTAACACGCCCAGACTCCCGGAACATTGTATTGAATACGTTAAGGTTATACAGTGGCCAAAGGAGAACCCTTTTGATGTGACCATCGATGGGGATGACCCTAACCACATCAATTGGATATATGAGAAGTCTTATGAACGTGCAAGTCAATTCAACATCAGTGGTGTTACCTACAGATTAGTTCAAGGTGTAGTAAAGAATATCATACCAGCTGTGTCTTCTACAAACGCTGTTATTGCTGGTGCCTGTGTGACTGAAGTATTCAAAATTGCCACAAGTTGTTGCATGCCGATCAACAACTACATGGTCTTCAACGATGTCGACGGTATTTACACCTACACATATGCAGCGGAGAAGAAAGAAGATTGCCTGGCGTGCAGCAATATTGCCAAGTGCCTTGAAATAAAGAATGGAGGTATCAAACTTCAGGAGCTAATAGATCTTCTTTGTGATGATCCTACTTATCAAATGAAGAGTCCTGGAATTACTGCTTACATCAACGGGAAGAACAGAACTCTATATTTACCACACGTTGCAAGTATTGAGGCTCAAACAAGGGATAACCTGAAGAAGACAGTTGCAGAATTGGGACTGGAAAATGGCTCTGAAATCATGGTAGCTGATGTGACTAGCCCCAACACAGTAGTATTTAATTTAAAGTTTTCAAACAAATCTGATACTGAAATGGTGCTGGGTTGAGCGTTTTGTTTGAATTTTGAAATGTCTGTGATTTAGGTCCTGATAAGCTTTGTGAGTATAAATTCAAGCTCGGTAACCTATCTTTAACAACAGTAAGTTGTAGGAAAAGTTATTAGGCTTATTAAAATAAGTCTCACTTATAGGCCTACCGGTACTTTATCTCAGTTTTCTCTAAAATTCTATTGTAGCTTTTGTTCAAAGTTGTATCGTGGTTCTCAGACATCATTTAATTTAAACCCAGTTTAATACTTGTCATTTAAAACTTTTATAATAAAATAATATTTTTGTTGAATTAGTTTATTCAAAGAGTTTGTTTTTTACCTTTTAATTAAAATAGGTCTACTTAAAGTTATTAAGTTAGAAACTTTGGCAATAGTGTTTTAAAATGAGCGGCTAGTGCTCCATAGGATTTTACATTTATTTGTAGTAGGCCTACAGGCTAAGTAAAAGCGAAGAGCTTTTTTATTGCTAGAAACTGGACCCATTTGTTCTTTAAGCAAATAAGCATTCTCTGGCAAAGAAAACAGCTGATCTAGCAATGAGGCTACCCTACTATTTTATTCATCAAAAACCCATTCTTCACTTAGGCTACGGTACTTATTTATTTTATTTAATTATTTATTTTACATTCCAACAGACAGCTCCGTTTTGATATTTGGTAGGCCTACAATTTAGTGCAATACCGGTATACAATACTTGCTTAAAGCTAGTTATGTATAAGGTAGGCCTATACAATAATGTTGAGTGAAAAACAATGAATCAGTTAAACAAAACAAAAATGAGAAACGGCAACAAGATGACAAAAATGACAGCGGCAAGCAACAAAACGAGGTACCTATAGTTACATATTTAATACATATTTACATATACATAATATTTCCATAACACTTACGCTAACTTTGCCTTTAAATATGCACCTCGGTGTGTCGGCATGTGTAAATCTTAGTGTAGCCTACGTAGCTGTTTTAACTAAACTACTGAAGGCTATTGTTTGAATTGTTAAACATACTCTTCTAGAATCTAATGTAGCAGCATTTAAAGAATAAAAGCTTTAACTCTACTATATAGCTTTGGCCTTAATTTAAAGTATTTTTTTATGTTTTAATCATCTAGGCCTACAGGGTGGTACTTTAGACTAAATTCCTCATTTGAAATTTTCAATAGGCTGATTAAAATTTTAATGCTGACAGATTTCACCGGAGTTGACATTTTATTTACTTACACTTTGACAAAAAGGTGTTTAAGTTACTGAAAGACTCTACATAAAGTGATGGTATGTACAGACCTGTTTCTTGAAAGATGGAAGCCAGGACGCATTCGGTGATTGGCCATGAGACATTCGGTACCAGAACTTGAGTTTGAGCCAGAGGTTTTGATTTCTTGTATAGTATCGATTCTAACTTGCTATGGCAAAAATGTAACTTTTAGAATCATAACCCCAGAAAATCTATCCAAGCTAGCGACAACATTTTAATCGCCAAATTAATGAGTACGGTACCTATGTAATACTTATAGGCCTAATGAAAATTGAAACTTGGTATTAAGAAGAGTTAAGCAGTTTAACTTAGGACTACCGTAACTGACCGCTCTAATTCAATCAAGTGTTTTTGTAACGTTGAATCTTACTGTTACACTTAAGTGTGCTGGTTGTTTGGCACGCGCAGATGCAAGGGCCAAGGGTTTTGGTTACTGTTTGTAGCACCAATTGTATACCGATTTAAAAGATCTTGGTGTAATATTTTCTTAAATAATATTGCAAGTCTCTGGCGTTTGAAAATTTTTATTGAGGTATTTAATGTGACACTAAAAGGTTGGTTTTAAAAACACCAAAAAATAAATTTTAGAGAAAAAGTAAAACACGGGATTCTTAAAAACAAGAATCTGCAGTTAAACTTAGTATACTAAAAAGTTTAAGGATAGGCCTAACGATGTAATCACCCAGATTCAAAAGGCTTACAAGCGCTCTTCATGGCGCTGTTCGTTCAGTGCAATAACATCGGCGTTGCAACATCGTACAACTGAGAAATCCGAGCTGAGGTAGAGCGCACCCTAACTACAGTATAGTGGTCTTCAGGTTTAGACTGTGCTATATTGCAGTACAGGTTACTAGGACCAAACAATGCTTCCTTGTATGTGCTGATGCTTCTGGGCTGATTTTTAGAGTATTCATCATGTTAAAACATCAATTATTCCTGTATAGGCTGTGTTCTTAAGATTCATTCATTTAGAAAATCAAACCATAAGTTAGCCTACTGTAAGCACTTCTTAAAAAGTTACAATAAGTTAGTCCTGATCGGTTAATAAGTTTTTCAATCAACAAAAAAATGTTAAAATACAAAATTTATTACTAGATGAACTTAGTTTGCATAGGCATTTTCCACAAGAATACATACATCATTTAGCTACTCGTACAATTTTGTTATAAAAAAAATACTACCTCACAACCATTTTCTTGTAAGACTTCAAACCCCTGTTTTCAACATTATGATTATTCAGTAGTTCAATCACATTGTTTGTTGTAATGCCATCAAATCCCTTTATTTTTCTTAACTCCGGTTTGTGTAGGTTCCAAAAGGAATTACGGGCCTGAAATAAATTATTTACAAATAATAATATTATTTACGTGTTCAAAATCAAAACTATCAAGGAAATTAGGTTCTATGCTTTAAAAACTCAAACTTGCTCAGTATTTGTTTAGTTTTTGAATCACCCTTAAATATACAACAATATAGGTACGGTACCGTATGTGACCAAAATTCACAATAATCCGAGATTTATTACTCTTTACTAAAATTTTTTGGAAAGCAAGTCGTCAAAAAATGTCTTTGGATGTATTAGAATCTTGTAAAATTAAGACCTACTCTTTCATCCAGTTGTTCATAACTTGTCCTAACTTCCATACTTCATACTCTATACTTTCATTCAAAACTCCCTTTGTGAGAATGTTGAACACATATACTTAGGTTTTTTTGTTTTTTTTTTTTAAAGAGGGCCAGGCTTAGTTACAAGTGACCATGGGATTGCATCGCAGCTGGAACAGCTTATTGTGCACCCTCATTCACAGGTCCTCATTCTCCATCAAATCCCAGGTCAGTGAACCATGAGATCCTTTTGACTATGGTAACCTGTTTTTCCCTTTGATCTCCAGTCGATAGGCCAAGGGATGTCATACGCAGACATTGTAGGGCTGGGCACATAAATATATACTTAGGTCTGGTATAATGAATTTATTTTAAGATCCTTGAACCGAAAAAAGGGTACAGTTCTGCAGAGAACCTATTATAGAATATTATGGGATGAAATATTAGTTTGATATAAACCGATTTGAATATTGAATGTAAATATTGATCATGGGACTTTTCTTGTAGAGTACAATCAACCACTTTTTTTAAGTGTGTTGCGGGGTTTGGCTTTTAGGTTAGTTTAATATATGAAACTCATGAAATAAAAAATACAAATAGGGTACAAGAAAATGTTTTTGTAAGTTTATTTTTAAATTGCACAAAATATTGTCTTTTCATAAATGTTACATTCTTCAAAGCATAAACTGCCGCAGCTTGAAAAACATAGGCCTAATCAATATTTAAATCAAGTAAAATCTATATCCGATACCAATATCAAGCTAATATTTCGTCCGATAATATATCGTAGGTTCTCTCCGGAAGTCTGCCCCCCAAAAATATTTCATAAACAATTAAGTTACATTGCAAAAGCGTTTGGATTTTGCCGATTTTTGTTCGCAAATTAACCTAATGGGAAGAGTTCGCCCTAGCACAAGAAACAACAACTTTACATTAGCTTATACACAAAAATTAGAATATTTTACTGTCACTAACAGTGGGTAAACTTTCTTATTTAGAAGCCTTTTATTCTTGCTCGTAAAACTTTTTTGTATGTGGAAATTTCTAAAATGCTTCCAAAATATAACAAAATTAGATTAGAATGTTTTTACACATTTTAATTTCCGGATCACTCCTTACCTTCATACCCTGCACACAATTCAGTGTTGCCAGTTTGGACTGTGAGTCTCGCACCAACCTGCAGTCGTCATGTCCAGTCTTGATAGACAGTAGTGCCAACCCCTCTGCTACCACATGGTGTGCTATTGGCAACACTTGTCCGTCATAACATGGCTGAATCACCGACACAGTCTGACCCTGTAACTAACTCAGGTACAACTCGAATTGGCTTACAGAAATCCTCACTTAAGTTGGGGAATGAGCACGCTCCGATAATTCCCTTTATGGGATTTGGGCCATTAAAGATGGGGTCGATGGTTCCCCTGAGTAAAAACTAAACCAAAAGTATAAACTAAGACTTTAATTTTTACGGAAATTGTCTAAACCAAATATATGTAACATTTTACGTAGCCTACATATATTTTAGGCCTATTGCCTCTAGGTTGTAGTCCAGAATTGTTTTCCACATTATCTCAGGACTAGAGGGGGTCGTGGCATTATCACTTGGATAAAATCCATTGGTTATTGGGCGGGATTTAAGCCCGGGCCCTCAGGGACTGAAGTTCCGCACTACCACTTGACCAGCTCGCTCCTCATGGATATAATAATGAAAGTATAATTTTGTTTTAATACCCTAGTTAAACTATCGTAATTGCATTTTAGAAAGGTGTCGGGCAATCACCTTAGCCTTAGGTACCTATTGTCATAGGAATACAGTCAAATAACAAATAACTTTTACAAAAAGCTACTATTACTGCTGACAGGTTTTGTCAAGACCTAATTTCAGAGGTAGTTATTTGTTTTTCTATGCAAATATACAATTTCACCTTTTCTGAGTTTGAGGTTAGTGCTGATTATATTTCCATTGGATAAGTCACTAGGACAGTACAGTTTAAATTTAAGTAAAACCATAGATAAAACACACTCCCTTAGGTTGTTAGTTTATCCTTGTGTTGGTTTAGTCTATGGTAAAACTATTTAGGGTACAGATGTTTTGCGCCTATTATAATTTTAATGTGCTACTAGGGCTTTAGGACTGCAAATATGATGAGTTTAAAAATAGACAGCTTAAAATATGTTCTTAAGCATTTTAAGTCAAAATTGTACGCAGAAGAGTCTTTTACGCCTCTGGAACCAGATACAGTACTGGTTTACTGTGGTTTTTACTGGTTTACCCCCATGAGGAAAAGTTTCTGCAAGCCGGTATCTGTTTTTATTTACTTTTCTCATTTGTAGCTATTAATAATCTCTGTTATGGCCTTTACAAAACATCGAGTAGAAAAAGCCTCAATATATATCAATGATTGAAAATTCTTCAGACTCAATGCATATAACATTGGCTAGTATTGAAAAAGGAAACATTTTTGTGCAAAATTGCTCCAAAGCTTGAAATCTTAGATAAAACTAACACGGATTTTGGTTTTGCAAAGTGCGAACAAATTTCCTGACAATCAAGTTGTATTTTCAATTTTCAATGAATACAAGGGAAATTTTAGTGATTAAAAAATAGCCTAATTAATTCACTGTCACTGGATGGGGGTTGCAAAATAGACCCAAACTACAGTTGATTGTAAATCTACACAAGATCATGACCAAAACTATTTCTATAATCTTCAAATTCACTATTTCCTTACCTTGAATGGCATTTTCTTTTTATTAATCTGTCAAAGTAACACATCAAATTTTGTCAATGTTATTGTTTTCTGAAATGTTTTGTTTGGATACATATGATGATAAAACTTAACACACATGTTTCCACTGAAGTTTTAGTAGCCCATGGGCCAGTGTGGTTGTATCTATAATCTTACAATAATGATTTTAGATTTGTGGCGTTTTTCAAAGAACCAGAGACAAAATATTCATCCTTTTTGCCTGTCTGGGACTCAAAACCTTTACTGTACCTAACTAGCAAAAATAGTGATTCAAAATTTTGAAAGGTTATCCATTAAACTTATTTATTGCAATTTGATTGGCATTGTATATTATACTACAGGTACAATAAAAGACGTCCCCAAGATTTTATGATTCTAATGAGTCTACGCCGAGGGGTATGGCCCCTCCTGTGAAAAAAAAAACAGTTTAAGAAAAATGTTAAAATTAACTAACTTCTGTGAGTGTTTAGACCGATTGTATGGGAAACAGATGTATTGTCAAAATTTGTTAAATATGAGTCCATTTAGTAAACAGCAAAACAATTATTTTAAAACTGTTTTTCGCCTTTTTTCCTAAAAACCTCTTGACAGTAAAAAAGACTCTCGGAGCCCATGGTCTATGGAGTTTTAAAGAAGGAAGGTAATACAAGTGCTTTTAAGGGATTGCAATCCATTAAATCCATGAATCAAAGCCGCCCCTCACACCGAAGTCTGATACGCTGACCACTAGGCTAGGGCTAGCATATCTTCCCCTAAGCTCTTATTGAATATACTTAAATAGTTTGTATGTGCAAGATTATAACCATATGCTACTCTTATATTCCATATAGGGATTGAATCTCAAAGAATTAGTCAAACACAGTCAAATTCCAATTTATTTATTCCCATACACAGCGGATTTCTCATTAAACATCTCCGTTGTCTCATTATCAATCTCTCATCTCATGCTTCATCTGCCTGATGCGTAGTCGCAGGTAGGACGGCGTCATGTTAATATCCTGCATGAACCCGAGGATAATCCTGTCAACGATCCTGGTCAGAGCGATATCCATGGGCGCCTCGTCAAACAACAGCATCGAACAAAGTCTCGCCACGGGCTTGTTGTCTGGCAGCTCTGAAATATAACCGAAAGTTAGTGAACGGATCAAAATTAACTCTTAGATATTGAAGTAGACATTGAATATGGATTGGTGTATCTAATTTATGCAAACAGAATGTACAAAATTCCTTAAATTTATTTATGAGTTGAATGAGCCACTAAAAAAATAGTGCTATGAATCATTTAAGATGGGGACGCCACTATGTGCGTATTTTAACCCAAATATGAGTGTAGGATGAGTGGTGCGATCTTGTGGTCGTGTTAGTGACTAAGGCCAACATAATCCTTAGACACAGCTGTTAATTAATAGCCCGGATACTAATGGCAACTAAGGGACCTACAGTTAAGTGGAATGCGGACCACATTTTTGCCTTGGTATTAACGAATTGGTCTAATTATCAGGATAGTACTGTGGATAGTCGTAGTACTCCCTAGTGCGGACGTTAATCCACACTCAGGGAGCATCGCATCCACAGTGCATGCCTATAAATAACCACAATTTGTGACCTCCTAGTAGCTGAATTATAGGACAATGTTATAGGCCCCAGGATTTAAGTTCCGGGTTCAAATCCGCAAAATCACTAATGAATTTTATCTAAGTGATAATGTCGCTACTCATTCTCATTCTAGCCCAAAGAAATGTGAAAAATGATCCCAGGCTAGAGCCTAGGGTACTAGGAACAATAAAAGGTGCAATCACCCAAAGAATTCACTGTCTCCACTGAAATCCTGTCGTAACTTCTACTCTCGATGACTGACTTCACTCGGCTCGGTATCATTTGCAGCATCTTGTTCGAGATTTGTTGAATTTCTTTGTTTAAGGCTGCTTGTTCGTAGAAGATAAAATCATCTGCTGGAACCTCGTAAAATTCATCCGGCTCCTGGTCCCTGAAGATAGCCTCGGTGAACCTTGTGACGGAGGGCTGTCAACAGAAAGTTAAATTTGACAGTTAAAAATTATAAACTAAACAAAAATTATGAATAGTTACAATAGACATAATTTTAATGTGAGAAACAAAACTGTCAACAAACTATGATTAAAAGTAGTTAAAAGTAGCTGGTAGTTGTAATTTATATTAAATTTCAAAACAGTAAAACTAAAATTGGAATTAGAAATATACATTCCATTACCACGTTATGTAGGTTTGAGATAAAAATGGGCGTAATTGAGCTACCAACATTGTGCTGATTTAAATTACTGATTTCTGTCAAATACGCCAACTTTTTTGTAATCTAAAATAAAATGTCTAAACCTCATTGTGGGACACCCCTTTATACATATAACCATAGAAGAGGAATTACAAGCAGCTGTCTATTAGCATACAAGGGAAATACCGTACAAACAGCTGATATCTCCTGTCCAAATTTTGTTAATTTTCTGTTGTTAAGTTAACAAACTGTTCCCTGAACACAGATAAGCATCGATTGCTTGTGGGGAATATAGTTTCCAAAATATTGTTAGCATTGTTGCTTGTATTTATTTTTGGAAATGTATCTCTTGACTAAAAGTATCCACACTCTTTATTATGTACTATTACGCTATTACCATTGGCGTAGGTGGTCTATCTCTAGTCCTTCGGAGATTACTGCGGTCAACTGTAAACTCGTCTTCTGATTTGTGTATAGGAATTACCAACTCCACATTGCTGAAAAACATACAACTCTATGTGTAGAACAAAACAAATCAGATTAAAAATATCATAACTTGCTCATTGTGTTTAAAATTTATAAATTTATTCATTTTCGCTTTTATTTTATTATTTTTATTTAATTTACGCTTAATTGTGTAGCCTATCAATTTACTTTTTAAATAGAAATTTAATCTTCAAATTACAGTTTGAAAAAGTAAGTTTTTTTCTGTTTGGGATCTAATTCTTTTTTTATTGTCGGAAGTTATAATTAAAATTATTTGCATTTTAAGTGCCGGTAATAAATATGTATTATGTAGGTACATATGAACAAAATAAACACTAAATCTGGAAATAAAATTAGGTTGATTACCTGATTCTGGTGACCTTTTGTCGCGCCAAAGACTGAAACAAAAAAATTGTACTTCATAGTTTACTATTTTTCAGAAGTTAATAACCATTTATTGTGATTGTGTATGCCTTTTAAAACCCCCAAATTCTCATAGTAAACACAGTAAATGAATTCTAGTATGAAAGCAGAATAGGGGAAGCAATTTAAATGAGTTTTTCATGATCAAATGTGACAAACACGGTAAAAAACATTCCAAACATTTTGGTAAGACAGCGCAAGCACAAAATAAGAATTTCTGACCATTGAAAGCTCAATTTATGCTTACTTCAACAAGCTATATCATAGTAACACCTTGGTAAGAGAAACATTTTTGCAATAAAGTTCATTATTCATTACAAAAACAATTAACTACGAGCTCATGAGCTGTAGATAATTTCATATAGGTAGTGGATGATCCCTGCAGGGGACCCACGCTTGCGTGGGTTTGTGGCCTAGCGACCACGCGGACCCTAGCTCTCCCAGAGGGAAGGTAATTGCCCGGTGTTGGAACCAGCACTTCAGGTAAGGCCACAGCTATGGACTGGGATTGCCAGCCCTTAGGGGAGTCCCCAGTGACATTCCTCCATTCAGGATGGTGGGGTGTTTAGCTCTCAGAGTGGCTCCTCCGTGCAGCACCTCTCACCTACCTGTGGCTCTGTGGTTCCAAGGGGCTTGCCCTGCCTGTTGTGTACAACTAACATTCTGTGTGGCATATCCTCGGCTCTGGAAGTAGCCTCTTCCTGGGAGGTGAAAGATTAGCCCCCAAAGGGGAGGTAACTGCTCGGTGTTGGAACCGGCACTTCAGGTAAAGCCACAGCTATGGACGACTGGGATTGCCAGCCCTTAGGGGTCCCCAGTGACATTCCTCCATCCAGGATGGTGGGATGTTTAGCTCTCGGAGAGATGGAAGATGCGCCATCATATCTCCCACCTACCTGTGACTTTGGTTCTATGGGTTTCGGCCCGCCTGCTGTGTGCGATCAACATTCTGTGTGGCAAATCCTCGACTTTGGAAGTAGCCTTTCCTGGAGGTGAAATCGGACGAGTACCCGTAAGCTCACGGGGACACTCTAGGGGAACGTAACTTTCCGCAGTGTGAGGGCAACGGCTGGGCGCACTCAATCCCTGTCTCTGAGCCCGGAAGGTATGGTTATCTAGAGTGTGGGGGGTTCTCCCTGGAACCTCAATTGAGCTAAGGGTGTCGCCACCTTTAAGGGGTGGATAGGTTCATCCGGGTGGGACCCACTTCTATTCCTGCCTCCTTTTGGGAAACCCTGATGGCCTGGCAGTGATGTTGGGCTAGATGGGCAAACGAAGTAGATCGGGTGCTGGGTTCAAGCCCGCTGGGGTGTTCAGGGATCTATCGCCCTGGTCACCTCTAGTTTCCCAGCAACTGGGTAAGGCCTCCATCGGGTAGTGGTGGTAATAGGTGGAGTGGGCGCTTGACCAAGTAGTCGGTATCCCTGGTTAGGATTGAGGGGCAACCCTCTTTCCGATGGGCATTACTGTTGGCAGCCGATGAGCTTGATGGCCTTAAGTCATCCACCCCATGGTGTGTTCAGGGTTGGTGCGCAAGCTCCAGCCAACGCCATGGGGCCCGGTAGTTAAGGATATCCAGGTACCGGGTAGTCGTCGGGGAGCTTTGGTTCTCTCGACAAAAAATGAAATGGAATTAATGAAAAAAAAGGTAGTGGATGAAGAGCTCATGATCTAAAGGTTTTTGGTTGGATCTTAAAAGTGCCATATGGTTTCTATTGTTTTAAACTGGACCCAGCTGTCCTTGAGGCTTTTAATAAATTGACCAAAGAAACAGCTGATCCTGGTTAGTAACACAGCTGTTGCAGTCATATTGTTGGCTTAACATTCATCCGTCACTCTTTTCCATAAAATATGTAAATACAACACCAGCATACCTGGCTTTTAACAAACTCAGAAGAGCTGGATCTCGTCCTTCTTGAGAAGACTGACGGCCTTTCTTCCGTTTGCGTTTTGAGTTCATCAATCGTCTGGAAAAGTGTATGCTCTCAACAAACTGAATCATAGACTAGGTTGAATATATTAAAGTATATAAGTCTAACACCTTAAAAAATGAAAACAATACACCATCAAGCTGTGTGTGTTATTTTTACACAATGTTGGGATGGGAAAAGAAATCAATTAACTAATATGTTTATGACAGTAACAAATAATTTAGTGAGAGAAATGGTTGTGTGAATGATTGTCTCCAGAAGAAGCTAGTGTGTCTTGTCAATTTAAAATATATCTTATTCTTATTTAACATACTTGAAATACGTTTGAAAACCACGAATACACACAGATGCATAAAATACAGCATCAAGTGTCTGCTGCAAAGTCCAGTCTTCTTATCCAGTCTCATTTTCTTGATTTTGACTTTTAAAATATACACTGCCAATCATTTAAAATTTGCAAATGCATGGTTTTACAGATTAAGGCTTGTGAAAGGGACTTTTCTCAAATTTGGTTGACCAATTATGATAACTGTTAAGATTTTTTTTACTGTGGTACTTCTTTTTATCAAGAACTGCTTATAAATTTGTTTTTATTTAAAAGGACATGACATTTTAAGATGAAAGAAAACTGTCGGTTGTACATATTGGTCACAAACTTACAACTACACAACTTTACCTTGGAACTGGGAGTAATCTAATTTTTTTTACCAGCTACAGTACAACTTTTATGTCTTTTGACATTGGAAATGAGTTAAACGATTACTTACAGTTAGAACTTTCTTAGCTATCTGCGTCATGACGGGTTGAAACTGATTGGCTGTGTACTCAACAATCACTTGCTCCAGAAGATATTTGATGGCAGCGCTCACCGGTAGTGGCTTAAACATGTGAAATAAATTTTACACTTGCGATAAGAGTTATGAATCAGCTGGAAATACTGAGATTTTTTTCTTCGCTGTAATTTTCTCCTAACCTACTCTTGAGTGAATCCAACGGAAGTGTTATTTTTTGTGCTCTTTGGAGTTTTATAAGGGTAGTAAAAAGATTCAATAATTAACTTGTTTTATTAAAAATAGGGTTCACACTATTTTACATTAACTTATGAATTTTGGATAGCAATGTGAAGTAAAACGGTGAAGGGAAAAGTTTTGATTACAGGAAGCCTGAGTCAAGATTCAAATAGAGATTAAAATTTTTGCAACAACTTATTATGAATTGCGAACATTGTTACAAAAATGAATTTGAAAAAGAGATCTTTACTAAGAGGACAACTGTAGGGAAGATTGTGTAAGTCTTGACTGTAAGCTCCCAATTTTGAACCCCTCTCGCTCCAGTCTTTTATAACCTGACTCCCTCACATACACATTGCACGAAATTCTGACGCTGACATTTCTTGTCAGCAGCAACAGCCCTCACACTCCAAGCCAGGATCTAACCATCGTCGAACACAATGCAGCAAGAGATGTGCCGAATACTTTGTGACACTCAACAAAAACCCAATCAAATTGCAAGATAATACTGGCTAGCGGAGTTCACGTTTCTCTTGCCTAGTTACCTAGTTAAATGTTCTCTTGCCTAGTTAAATATGGTTAAAATTTACTAAACTGTGTTCTGGGTTGGTATTCAGGATATTTAAATTTCACATCTAAAAAATCCCAGACTGCCACAGCTCTCTTGGCAATATGGTAGTGCCGCTGAACATGTATATTACCTGGCATTCAGGGGCACTCCATTTTGCCAAGGGTATGGACTGAGATGGGCTGGACATGTGTGTAAGAGAGAGAATTCATCATTAATAAAAGCTGTTGACCAGAACAACTCAGAAGTCGGGAGACCACTGGTGGAAGAGCCAGTTGCTGGAAGGATATGGCTGCGTTGGGCACTACACCTATGGCAGCCGAGAATATAGTGTAGTGGAAAGACATCGTTGGCGAGGCCCAAAACCTTCTTAGGTTTCAATGGCCAAGGAGGTAAGATAAAGGTAGGTAGTAATAGGTAGGACCTCATCGGTCACAAGCCATCTAAATTTAACAGTTTAAATCAGACTTAGAAGGGCTTGAGATTGACCTGCAGTTTCAGTGTAAAAATAATAAAAAAATGTAAATCGAGTTTACTTATTAGTCTCTAGCTCTATTAGTTTATTTTTCAATACATACCACATTTTCTTGTTTCTCCAAACGGCTTTTAGCATGAGCGATCACAATGTACGGTTCCAAATCTGCAAAATTGTCAATAAATAAAGTTAGAGTTATTTTTAAACAATTTTTTTATATTTTGTTTTGATGATTTCAAAAGTAAAAGAACAAATAATCCAGGGTCTCACCATATCTAATCTCTCGCAGGGTTTGTTGGATTCGTTCATTTAGAGTTGCTAAAGTCTCTTCGTCCTGAGACAAAAACGCAATGCTCTGCAACAGTTTAAATCACAACAGTATAGTTTTGATTTTTAAAAGATACCAATGAGATAACTAAGAAAAGGTACTACTAATAGATATTTTAGGAATGTAATGGCTGCGCTGGACGAGACCAAACTTGATGGTGGTGGAAAACTCAGGTCTACAACACATTCAAAGTTACCCAGTTTCAAGGAGTTTTTAATTAAGTTACCTTTTATTTTGTTGGTTACCTTGAATTTTCAAGTCCAATTAGTTTACTTATGCACATTTCGCCACAGGGAGTAGCATCTTCAGAGTTACTCTAAAAATATCCTATACTACCATACTATACTATAGCCTACTACTGTATTTGAAAATGTTTGTGAGTTATTTTTTCTCATCACTAATATTATAAGCGCAGGGAAGTTCACTTCTATCACAACGGGAACAGTTTGACCGACAGTTTTAGGGGTGTGGACGGACTCATTTATATAATTCAATGGAAAACAACAATTTTGTAAACTGGACAGTTAAACTAATATTCAAAAACTGGCCACAGCTGTAATAATAATCAACAATAATCAAAGCTGTAACTGTCTACGATCAGCTGATTTAGTTTTCAAGAATATTATTAACAGTGCAATGTTTCCAGCAGCTAGGATGCATATGAAATTCACTTCACACATATCACTTGGAACCATGAGCAATAAATTATGTTCAATGCAAATTCAATTTGATAAACAAGGATAAATGCAATTGTAATTCACCACATGCTGCTATTGAGGTCAGTAAAGTACGCAACTGCTGTAATTTCCACTGGGTGCAAAGTCCTGTAGATCCCCTATGAGTGAGAGAGAAGGAGAATATATAATCAGCTGATCTACAGTGTGTATCTCCAATCAGCTGTTTTTATCCAAGCAAGATGTACCTGTCATTTCCCATTTGTCTGTGTTTATTGTTGTCTATGGCTTTTTCTGCACCGACAGATAACTACTCTCGAAGAGAAGGTAAGTGAACATGAATTTTATATCAAATTTGCTGGTTCCAAATGTATCCTTGTAAAACAGTTTTGATCAAAAGCAGTAAAAGCACTAAGCATTATAAGATTTATTCAGATAAATAGGTAAATATACTGAACACTGATCATTTCAGAATCTGTAAAGTATTCCTACTGTTAATTTTTTACGAATCTTGTAACAATACTTTTTGATGGATTGAAACTGGACCCAGCTGTTCTTTATTGTATTTTCAATATATAAATGGTCCTGGCCAAACATAAACAGCTGATCTTTGTAACACATTAACAAAGCACTATATTGAGAATAAATAGAACTATAGTTCGGCCGCTTAGAAAACGACCTGCGCGCTAATGCTAAACCAATGCTGGAGGAGGTCGCTTTCTAAGCGGCCGAACTATAGTCAAACGATTCCTATGTTAAAGTTGTTGTCATTTTTAGAATAGAAATAAAGGGATTTTAATTGATCCTATGACATAGTGATAATGTGCTGATTTAAAAATTACTGAATTTTGATTAATAAATCTACTTTTTGGAATTTTGACCAATAAGGGAAACTAAAAATAACAAATTATTGTTAACTTTACAATCTTTTTTGTTAAACCAACAATGGAGATATAATTATTTTTTTGCTAAATTGATCGTAGTGAATTTTGTAAGGCCACTTGCAGTAGCATGACTCATAATTATGCTTTTTTCATTTGTTTACAACTTATGTATACAAAAGCACGTATCGCTGTCTTAGTGAAATTATTGTGAGTGAATTTAATCATATCAATGTTTCAGAGAAGCACATTTGTAGTTGGGCGGGATTCGGTGCCAAGTCCTTGCTCCATGGTGGATGCACAACTCACTGTATGGTGCTCAAAAGTGGCTACACAGGTGGCCAATGTCACAACGGAGTCTGCAAGTGCTTTAAGTAACTCACTTACCTCAATTACACCTATTTATAACTCATTAAATTTAATCTAAAATTCATGTTTTCTCTTTAATATTGAATCCATCCCAAATTCTGTCTAGTTTGACTATGTTGAGGGATTTTCAGACATTTCCCATCACAATGAGTTAATAAATAAAGTTTTCATGATTTGGGATGCTTTTACACCTGTTCCAGGTCTCGAAATGAGGTGAAAACTTTGTCTTTTACTAATCCTGATGGAAAAGGGCCTTGTTACCTAATCCTGTAAGCTTAAGAATATCAATAAAATCATCGACTATTGATACAAATAGACATTCCATCGCCATGTTAAGTTTATCGCCTGTTTTTTAATCAAAATGAACGTAGTTGAAGTGAGCCACTGTCAGATTGTGCTGATAAAAGTAACTGATTTCTGTTAAATACCGGTACGCAAATTTTTAACCAGAGTCAAACTAATACAAAATTGTAAGCTGATGATAGCAACTGTTATGAACTACGAATCGACTATCTCAGCAACAAACAATCAGGTAGAAAATAGAATTTTAGGCACTAGCCCATTCTTACTAGAGCACTGGCTCACTCAACTACGTTCAGGGACACCCTGTATAACACAGTACCTTATTGGATGCGTAGGCTTCAGATACAGATCGCATTATTTGCTTCATCGTTTGCTTGCGTTTGTTCATCCTCACTTTTTCCAAAGTCGTTCTACACTTCCGTTCACTCAGTTCATCTAAACACATACGCTCAGCATTAGATGATGTAAGAGTGTAAAGTATGTTTGGGAATTCTAAATACAGTATTGCAAAGGCATAATGGATGTAAACTGACTAAAATATTTTATACTGTTAGTAAACATTTAGTTTCAAGTGATCACTAAAATTACTCTACCTTGGACAGCAAAAAACAGCCCCTTTTCCAACTTAAAAAGTCTAAACCACCAGAAGTAAGACTACGAAAATGGATGTAAAATTAGTAAGTTACAGTAATACGAGATAATAAAATGATAAAAGTACGGTATAGGCCTACCTGTTACTGAACATGAGCAGGACGGTGAACAAATAATGAATATTATGTTTTAAGAAACAAAAGGATCATTTCCATTTCCATTTTCGTTTATCATAAGAGCCAGAAGCTCCCTGACTGCAAACCCGGTACCTATAATTAAACACACCCGGGCCCCATGATGTAGGCCGAAGCATACGCACTGACCTTTGGCACACCATGGGAGGATGACTTCAGGTCATCAGGCTCACCGGCTGCCGAAGCAACCCTTCGGAGAGAGGGTTGCTCCTCAATCCTAACCAGGGATACCGGCTACTTGTTTAAGCGTCACTCCACCTGGGTTCCCCCAGGTACGAAACCCAGAAGGACCATAGTGGAATGCTCTGACACATTTTGTGCAAGCAACACTCGGGACCTATCCAATCCCTGGCAGGCAGAACCCGCCATCAAAGCCAGGAAGAAGGGGACCACCAGCAAGCTGATGGGGGGAACCCCAACCACCTATTTACACCACTAACCGATCGAGGCCTTACCCAGTTGCTGGGAAACCAGAGGTGACCAAGGCGATAGATCCATGAACACCCCCAGCAGGCTTGAACACAGCACCCGACAAATGGGCACCCTTTTGTTCAAATGGGATGAACAAAAGTCTACAGTATTTGTATGGCCAAGGACTTACAATTAACGATAAAAGTTATCCAATATTTACAACACCGAATATTTTGTTTTTTTAATTCTAATCAGAAATTATATAAAATTTTATTACCTTCACAGGTAGCACCTCCTGTGTTTGTAATAATCATTACATGAACCAAGTCTAACTTCATCAATGATAATTTTTGCTATTTTGAAAAACTGGATTACATACATGAACCTTTCCGTAAATAAGTATAGCCACATCCATACTAATAGTAAAGAAAATAATTCAAGGTCTCGCCATAGCTAATTCAGATTGCCTTGCCAATCTCCAGCGAAGAAGTTTTCATACTCCACACTTACCCTCCATCCTTGCCCACTCCTTCTCCATTGCTTTCACATATTGTTGTCTCTCTTGTTCCATCGCTGTTTTTCTTTTTTCATACAAGAATTTTTCCTTTTCTATTTGTTTCAATTGTTCTTCTACCTTCTTCTTCCATCTAGCCTCTGCCTGAAACATTTACCAAAAGGAACATTTATAATTTTCACTAATTAAGGGTTAATTAAGGGTAGTTAAGTTTTAAGGAAACAGCAGTTCCACCTGTCCAAATCGGTGAGGGGGAGGGGTACAATTATTACAGTCTGTACAGATTTGGTTTACCGAAAAAGGATGGAGTGTAATACCGATAATTCTTGGAAATTTTGACCTACACCAATGAATACAAAACTTATAAGAAGAGCCTTTGTAAAAAATTCAGTCTGGGAATATTTGAATTTTGGGTAGTTCCCGAGGCGGCTCCTAGGTAGACTAGCGAGTTTGCGGCCAAGTCAGCTGACTGAGTGAGAGAAAGAATCAGCTTAGAGAGAGTAAGAGATAGAGTAGCGCAGCCGTGTCACGAGCGATTGTTATGGCGGCCCCACAAAGCTCATTTCTGCGGCATAATTCCATTCTGACTAGTCTCCATAAGCATTTCACTTTTGAAAGGGTTTGTATTCATTACCTACACTTTTTTCTAATTATGTTTTGGATCCTTCTCCCTCCTTAGTCTTTCATCAACTTCACATTAAAAATATAGCAAAACAGCTGATTTTTTCAATCTGCTTGTTCAATTATTTCAACAACACATCTTTGAACTTTTGAGTCAGAGTTGTACTCTGTCCAATTGTAAAGCAACTATTTATAGTAATAAAGCACCTAGCGAATAAGTATAGTTTTAGATTGAATTATCACTACCTTCGTTGTTTATCGCTTTCGCCCCATTAACCAGATTGGACCTTCCCACCAACTCTGGAAATAATAAATAAAAGCCGTACCTTCTGTTTCATCTCCATCTCGCGAAGTTTTGAACGTTTCTCAAACAGTTTCTTCATTTCAACGTCTTGTTTGTACCTCAACTTCATCGCTTTTATCTTGTTTTGCCGTTCAATTTTCTGTGCCGCCTCAATTCTACTGCGTATCTTCCTATCAAATGCATCCATCCTCTCCTTTCTTTGCTCAAGTTCTTCTTCTCTTTTCTTCTCAGCAGCAGCTGCTTTTTCAATGACTCTTTGAAGTCGCTTTTTACATCTGGTAACAAATAGAAGGTTGTTTAAAAGTTAAACATAATATTCTGTGGTTATTATGGAAAGTAGTGTTGAAGAGTAGGCTACCTAATTGAAAAAAATACACACTTGATTAAAGAAATTCGTCAAAGACTCAACACCCATCCCTTACTTTTCTTCGCCTTAAAAAATACACTCTCTTACATTGGTGTTGTATAGAACTAATATTATACACTTACTTTCTATTTATACAGGGTTAGTAAAAAGTGTGGAGACCCCTTGTTATTTTTTTAACGGCCCATACTAGAAAAACTAAACTCGGCACACCATTATGGCATGTTAAGAAGTACTTTTTGGGCATAACCGCCACTTGGTGTTCATCCCCAAAATGGGAGATTTTGGGGGAAACTCAAAAATTTCAAATACAAAGACCCATCGAGTGACCCCTCATTTTGAAGGTCTTAGTAAAAGAAAACCATCAACGCAAATTAGAGGTCTCTATCTCAGTTCAGTAAAAAATGGCTGCCAATTGAAATCCTCATAAGTTCTCAAACCCAAAATGGGGGATTTTGGGGGAAACTCAAAAAATTTTAATGATAAGCCCCATCGAGTGGCCCCTCATTTTGAAGGTCATAATAAAAGAAAACTAACAACGCTAACCATAGGTCTCTATCTTAACACAGTAAAATATGGCAGACAATTGAATATAAAATTGCAAGTTATTTCCAACTTCTAAAGATTTCAATCAGCTTCCATTTTTTACTGGATTGAGATAGAAACCTCTAGTTTGCGTTGTTAGTTTTCTTTTATCAGGACCTTCGAAATGAAGGGTCACTCGATGGGCTTATCATTTAAAACTTTTGAGTTTTCCCCAAAATCCCCCATTTTGGGTTTGGTAAGCAAGTGGCTATTAGGCTTAAAAAGTACTTCATAACATGCCAAAAAGGTGTGTAGAGTTTAGTTTTCCTAGTGTGAGCCGCTACAAAATTTACAGGGGGTCTCCATACTTGGAAAGCTGTAAGTTAAATTTAACTTCTGAGAATTTCAATTGGCTGCCATTTTTTACTGGATTGAGATAAAGACCTTTAGTTTGCGTTGTTGGTTTTTTTTTACCAGGACCTTCAAAATGAGAGGTCACTCGATGGGTCTTTGTATTTGATATTTCTGAGTTTCCCCCAAAATCCCCCATTTTGGGGACGTACACCAAGTTACGGTTATGCCCAAAAAGTACGTCATAACATATCATAAAGGTGTGCCAAGTTTAGTTTTTCTAGTATGGGCCGTTAAAAAAATAACAGGGGGTCTCCACACTTTTTACTAACCCTGTATAAGCAATACCCATCCTCTTACTTCAAAAGCCGTTCCATTTCCAGGTGTTCCAATCTGCTCATGTTCTTACGTCTAACAGTTGTTGAGTCTTCAAGCTTCTTCAGTCTCGTTGCCTCTTTCTCCGCATTCTCGATAGCTTTTCCAACCATCAATTTCTCCTTTGCCAGATTTTCCTGAGTAATTCTTTAGATTAAGCTTAGGAAGCATGTAGGTTAGACAATAATCATTAAGGAATCTTGGGCTTAAAAGTTGGGTACCGGTAAAGTTTTCTTAACAAAGTTTTACTATTAATACTTGTACTGGTGGACTAGAAAAATTTAAATTTTTAATCTGTTTCTTGGGAAAATTGTAAAGAATTATATGTAGTGAAATTTGGTTAAAATGCCAACTTTCAAAGCCCATTCTATATCTCTTTATCCCCGTCAACATCAGTTTTATAGGTTCTAAGCCACATTTTCATTCAGAGACATTTCATGAAGTTCAAAATATTTATGCATACTCATGCACAAACTTTACTAATCTGGATAGCATCTTGGAATTTTTTTCCGATCTTTGTTTACAGGGATCCAGTGTAACTTTAAGTTGAAACCACAATTTTCAATATTAAATTGTTCCGCACAAAATGCCACTAGCAAAAGGAAAAAATATCAGTAGGTCTACGAGTCTGTACTAAACAGTTATCAGTCATCAATAACCTAGTTTTACCTTTTGTTCTATATCGTTCCTTAAGCTGTTACTGTACAATTTGTACAAAAAGTGACGGTAGTTATTGTATTGGTCAACGCTACAAGTAGCTCTCAATTGTGGCACCACTAGTCCTTGCTTCTTCAGGACCTGCGGGAAAACAACGGCATTGGTTACAGCCAATCAATCCATCAATAATCATTATTTGCGTGAGTTCATGAATACACCCAAAGTCTCAAAAGTGAGCAAAGTGAATAGCTTAATCCTCCCATGTAAATGGCACTCAAAAATTTTACCTCAATTGTGATAGTGTTCATGTGATTATTAATTCTGATTGGATAAGTAGTGTATGCTATGTACCTTCGGACTACATTAATTACCTAACTACCATAAAGAAGTAAGGTACAGAGGAAACATTCAATGGTGCCTAGCACTAGTCGATGGTGTCTAGGGTCCAACACTGCCCCCACGCCATTGAGTACTACACCGCTCACGGTGGAGAAAGACCCAGTGCCCTGTGGAATAGGAACTTCGGCACAGTGCTCAGCACTCAGGCTCTTCCTTGTTCGTCACAAGTATATTTCTCACACAATACTAGAGCTGTAAGCGCACAGTCGTCCCTTAAGCGTGTTTCCTCCGTACGTTACTTTGTCTCTATGATGTAGTGGAGCTTCAAAGTTCTAAGCTAGAACTATTTAAACCATGAGTAATAGTCTAGTCTAACGATCTATAAATGAGACACTAAGTCAAAAGAGTTGGACAATACCTGAAGATTCTTCGGGTTCCGCAACCAAGCTCGAAGGTGGTGGTCGTGAACAGACTCATAGTCAAACTTGACCTCATTGTTGTAAGGATCGGAGAGTTCGAACATGACTCCTGGAGAGCTCTTCCATAACTGTAGAGAAAATTAACAAATTGAATTCCCATAAAAATATATTTTTTAGTTTCAGACCAAATCAAATAATTTTGCTGTCTCTATACAAATCATAGGCTGTTAGGGAAGGGTTAATATCGGTAAAGAGTATTTACATTGATGTAGAATGGAGAAGAGTCTCAAAATTTAGAGTTCATAGTAAATGAGTACCGAGTACCGTCTCTTCTAGAGAGGAAAATGTTGTCTATAACCCAAGACATAGCTTGAATTTATCACTTTGATAGGAGATTACACCTATACAGATACATATACAGATTTATTACACCTACATATATACATTTACGTTATTTGTTTTTAATTACATGTTCAAAAATGTGTTAAAAAATTTACAATGGTGGTATAAAAGTATCAATGGGAAAAATTATTCATAGTAAAAGTAAAGCTATTGTTTTATAGGTTATTTTGTTGCAAAAAAATAATATCAACAAACTAACTTTTTGTCAACAAAAATTGTTTTATTTGTTTTATTTTGTTTTATTCATATATTGTATTCAGTTAATCCCCAATATTTTTAAGGTAAGAAACCACTGGAAATACGATTTTTTTTACTAGACTTTAAAGTACACTACTTTGTAACTTAATTCTCAATTTGACAACTGCTCTGCATGAAAAATGTTCGATTCTTCCAATACATTCGTAATATGTCTACTGGAAATAAACATGTCTTATGTCTTATAAATGAATCAAAAGAACTACTAGCATAGATAAAAGGAGTATAGACATATATATGTCTACTTCTTTTAATCTATGCTACTTGAGAACGGTTGCAGGAGCTAAGACGCAACCAGCAGCACACACATGTACCTAAATTGCGGTAGAAGTTAGTACGGCGCACACACAATAGAAGTTAATGTCGTATTGAGAGATATTTTTTATTTTAGCTAATTTACCTGTAGGAAGAAGCTATTTCCATAGTTTGCACGGAGATAACAGTGATCGATTTACTTTTTAATTTTTATGTCTTCAGAGACCAAAAACCCCATTCGTCCAAATTCATATACAGTTATTTTTATATACATTATATCTGTGTCAACACCATAACCCGAGTAAAAATGATCCAATTTTGATTGGGGTGTAAAAATACGTTTATTTGAACAAAAGTTACTAAGCCCAGCTATGGGAACGGGTTTCATGGACTAAACATTTTTTTTACCCCTAAAACGTAAAATTTAACAATTTATCTTTGACATTTGGAGACAATTTGTTAAATCGTGAATCACGTTAATAATCATTACATAAGTAGGAAATATATAACACTAACCTATGAGTACCTACGTTAATGATGTTATTCACAGCATTGCTGTAGCTGTAGGCACGATAGAAAGTGGTTAATACGAAGGAAACTAGGCTTCCAATAATTGAGATCTGTTGCTAACTAGTCGAGATTGTTAATCTAAATCTTACGTAATGGAAAACGAGAGCGTGTAGGCCTACACTATTTATCCATATATCGGCCTGTGAGAACATTGCGATGTTGATGATAAAAGGCTGTAAAATCATGGGGATTATCATGTCAACATAGGCATACTTTTCTTAATAAAGTTTTAAAGCATTTAGTTTTCAAATTCAAAGTATTCTTCAGTGTTCTTGTTAATTGATTTTTGTTCTCAATTGTTCAAAGTATGTTCTGGAAGGGCTATAAAAAAACCTAACCTCCAATTTGAAGGTTGTTCAGTTGATTCCAAGCGGGTTGGGTTCTAGATGCCAATTTGTCAACGGGCTATCAATTAATTAATCTAACAAAATTTCGACGTTATAGATAGGCCTAGTAAAGTTTGGATTTACGTTGGCCCCGGTTCGGACCGTCTCCTCACATTAAAAACGTAGAAGAATCAATTCCAATGGTACCGCCAAAATTATAAATTTGTGCTATGTTGCCAAAACAGCCAAACTCGAATACAGTGATTTTTCCTGCTTTGCAAACGCAAATGTTCTATCAATAAGTAAGAAAATATGTTATATAAGTTATTTCGTCGTCCAAGTATAGTGTGGTCACTAAAACATGAAAATAACTGCTACAGTTTACAGTTTGTAACGCCTTCTAAATACTTGGTCTGTGGAACCTGTATCCTGATCCTCTGCCATTAGTTTAAAGCCTGGGACAGTCTCAGGTAGACGAAAAACCAATAGAAAGATTCCTTCACAGGCTATAAGTAGGGGCCTATTTTGACCTAAACTTTCAGTTAACATAACCTATACAATAATTCTACAGTTGGACTTGAACTGAGTTACCTTTACTCCCAGCTTTCCTCTGGTGAAGACCAAAGGACCCTCAGGACCAGACATCAAGGGTAGCTTGGCATTGAGGGGAGCAGTCTCCCACAGCGGTAACCCCCCGGGTACACGGGCCCCCCTGGGTCGTGGCACCGAGGGGGGCGGAGCCCTCAACATCAGCATGTCCGTGTATGTGTATTTGGGGGATTCCTCGAGGACGGCCTGCTTCGCCTTCTCCCTCGAAGCCTTTTTGGAAGATCTGGCGGACATTGCAAACACAAACGTTAATTTTAAAAACGCGATTAGAACGTATTTATTAGATGTTTGTAAACAAGACGAAAGACTTTATTGATGTCCGTCATATGTTTCGTGATGGTGTATGTACTGTCTAACAAATAAATAAGTAACTAATCGGTGTACATAAAGATAAAACCATAGATAAAACATACTCCCCCAAGTAAAACACTGATAATTTTTAGATCCCTTTATTTACCTACTAGAATATATGACAAGTAGGTTGAACCAGTTTTATCCAAGGGAGGAGTAAAATAGTTAATTTTTAATTAGTGTCCAGCACCACAAAGATAAACATAAGTGGTGCATCAGATTCTCTTACACAAACCAAACAGAAGTAATCCTCGCGTAAAAAATATTTCAACAAAATTAATATTATTTAGTATAGTAAAGCAGCAGAGCTAAGTTACTGTATTTATTTGAAGAAATTCGCGGCCCAAACTCAAAGAAAGTAAGAGCGGAGCGCCAAACTAAAACCAGCTTGGGGCATGGTCACTAACAAGGTCGAAAAAGGTAAAAACCGAAAGCGCTTTAATTAAGTGGGGAGCGGCTGTCAATATTTTGAAAGTAATAAGGAATTAACAAAATGTCCCGTACTTTCGAACAGGTTAAGGTTAGAAAGTGGCAAGCCTGCCAGAGCTGCGCGCGCAACTCCCCCCTCCATCTGCGAGTGGACTCGTCCACCTGTTGATGTTGTCTTCCAATCAAATCACAGTTCGCAAAGTTCGAGTTACTAAGTCTGTCGTCTGTCGGGTGTTGTGAATTTTATTTTGACAGATCGCGTTATTGTGTTAGGTGAAGTGTTTGTTGGATTCTCTATTTCATCTATTAACTACGGTAAGTCTTTCAAGTTTCTTTATAGAATAGTTTTCTGTTAATTCAGCGAGCAAACTTACGTTTGCAAAACCAAAACAGCCGACAGCAGGCTACGTTGGCCCGTTATATTGCACGCCAGTCGCTTCTTCGCTGCCCCGTTAATTATCGCATGTCTCAGATTTTCCTTGCAGTTCTAAGTTATTAGTTTAATACTCAATCAATGTTGGAACGTAACTAGTTGCCACTTTATAGATGCTTTAAATGACATTGTAACAATGTAAAGCGCGAAACACTTCTTGAGAGTTGGAGAACTTAAGAACAATAACCTACTAGCCTACTACCCACCCTATTATTGCCCTGTTCCTGTTGAAATAATGTTTGTGATTGAAAAATATGCCTACGCCTTCAGTTTTAAATAGTTATAACTTAAGTTATTTTTCGAAGGAAACTTATAGTCCCCGTGATTGGTAAACAACAACATTTTTATCAGTAGGGTAGGCTATCCAATTAGGGTTTAAATCTTGTAAAGCGGAATTTCTTTCTTTATTTCAATGGGATAACCGTAAGTATTTTAAGTTACCTACTAGTTGGAGTTTCAAATATGAACAGCATAGTACGATACAAGACATCAGTAAACAAACATAAGTTAAGGAGGAAATTAAAAAAAAATCAACACAAAGATTAGAGATATAAGTTACTGTACTTAGCAAGTTGTAAATTTAATAACAGTCAATACTTACATAATAACAATATATCAATAGTAAAGCATCTACATCATTAGCTTGAATTAAATATTAGTAGTGTACCTGTTGCTCGAATTCGAGCAATTGCGAAGTATTACAGCTAAAGGCGTTATTTTAAAACGAATAACAGTCATAATTTCCGATGGCTTTAAAAGAGTCGTCCCAAAGATTATAGAAATACTCACAATTTACATATAATCTTGATATAATCATATTTACATGTAAATATATTTTAAATATTTCATTTCAACCAAGTCAGTTTGTAGCACACTTTTCCTTAAATTGCAACAAAAATATTAACAGCAATTAAATTATCCAGCTGGTCATAATGTAAACAAATATGTTCTTCATAAGGATAACATGGGAACTTTAAAAGCCACTGGGGCAGAGCTCACGACTTTATCAAAAATGTAAGGTCAGTTTGTAAATCTACACACCTAGACAAAAATTTTGGTTTATAATAAGTAGGGTTAAATCTTAAAACGGAGAAGCCTACTGTTCACAAATTTTCATGTAGCGTATTAATAATATAGATAAAGTTATTGGATTAAAACAATAAATTTAAAGTAGGACTGTAGAAAATCTGCTTTAAACATCTAGCTAGGGCGATTCAACCAATCTAAAAGCCTTTAACTTTTCTCAGGATTGAACCGGCAACATTTGTTTACTAGGCGAGCACTATATACACTCAGCCATAGGAAATTTAAGTTGCCATCTTACAATCAAGACTTCTGGATTTAATGGTTACTTTACGTTGATTGCCCAATGTACTGAAAAGTCTGTAGCTTTTTGGTTTAAATCTGGACCCAGCTGTCATTAACAATCGATGGCCTCTTAAATTTGATCCTCAAGGTGTTACACCACAGCCACCTCTAATACATTAGAGGTGGCTATGGTTACACACATCACTCGCATAGTCTATACTCGGCTTACAAAAATCCTAAGCTATAGGCCTACCTCTATGCAAAAGTCAGAAATACTGCGTGAGCCTCCTACATTTTTTAAAAATGTCTTAGTGCGCTATCTATTTTGTAGTTCAGGATACTGCGTAGCTACATTCTTTTCATACCAAAACAAGTTCATTCTTAATCTCACATCATGAACATGCTTCCCTTGGAAGTTCGGTCATGAGAAATATCAGCAGCCTTTATGATGGTTTGAAACTCTACCCATTATGGTCCTAGCTTAGTAAAAAAGCTGATCTAAAGCTGGGTTTTCCTAGGCGCGGAGTCGGCCAGCGGAGAGCGGACAGCGGAGAGCGGACTCAGCTGGTCTTAGGTAATTTAATGTTACTGTTTTCCTAGCAGCGGAGCGGAATGCCATGTTAATTTCAATTCCGCTCTCCGTTGTCCGCTCTCGGCTGGCCGACTCCGCGCCTAGGAAAACCCGGCTCAGTAAAGCCTCGTTCACACGGGGCGAGTTTACACGCTACTCGCCGGCGTGTAAGAAGCCGGCGAGTTGGCGAGTGTGCTTGTATTCGTTCACACGGAGCTTGTCCACTCGCCAACTCGCAGACGTGTAGAAAGACGCCGGCGAGTCGGCGTGTGCGCTTGTAGTCGTTCACACGATGCTTTTTCCACTCGCTCAGTAGCTGGCTTGAACCAAATCCTCCAACATCTTTGAGTAACAAGCGCACAAGCACAAGCAACTGTGTTCACACTGGGCTACTTTACACGCCTACTCGCTCAAAAGCTGGCGAGTTGGCGTGTAAAGTAGCGGCACCGTCAACTTTTTCCAGAGCTTTTTTACAAGCAGCTTTTGAGCGAGTACGTCGTTCACACTGAGCTATTTTACTAGCTGCGTGTAAAAAAGCCGGCGTGTAGCTTGTAAACTCGCCCCGTGTGAACGGGGCTTAACAAATCCAAAAGGGTTTTCCATTCTTCACTTGTTCCTTAACTCAATGGGCCAAATTTTTCCAGTTGCATTCCCACATCAATTGTTAATAAATAAGCGTTACTCTTAAGAAATACTTTCTCTTGGCCTAGGTAGCTTTGGTAGCTGTTGTATTTGTAATAATTGACACCATGCAATAATTGACTTTGTGTTTGAGTTGTTGTACTGAGGGAGAAGGAAGTACTGTAGTGTAGAAGCCATACTATAAACCCTTCCAAATGTTTGGGTGCTTGCCTTAGTGGTTAACCGAGTAGAGAATTTTGCTTTTGTTCTGTACAAATTATTATACCTATAAAACACATTCTCACCCAACAATTGAATAATTTTTTCATTTGTAATGGTAAGTGTAAATCTGCACTTGAATCAGGCTATTTTTTTAATGTAATCGGCCATTAAGATAGATTTAATTGTTGTACAATTAGGTGTAAATTGGAGGAAAGAACATACAAAGGCACTTGAAAATTACCGATAGCTAATTTAGAGCTGGTTAGGGAAAGATTACCCAAAAAGTTGTTTTCCCTCCGATTGTACTTAAGAAAGTAAGTTGAAGTAATTAGGCACTCAAATCTCTAGGCTGCATACTAAATACTGTTTAATTATGTCAATATAGTGCTTACTTAAAGTCTTTTACTAATCTCAACTAATTTTCATCACATTGCAGTAATTTGAGAAAAAACAAGGGTTTACACAAACTGACATTTGACAGAACTTAACTAACTCTTTTTAAGAATCACAGAAATTAATAATTTTTTTTAAGAACTGTAAAAGAGGAGAGAAGAATTCCACCTACTCTGAAGTACCTATATACTGTAGTTTTTAGGGTGTGCGTGTGACATAACTATAAGGGAACAGGAATTTTGTTATTTTCAAAATCGAACATTTTATGTGTTGAAGCCAGGGTTCCTCCACCTGATATGTTACGTAAGATAAAAAATAATCTTTCTAGAGGAGAGAAAGCTTTGACATTTGCATCCCCAATCCGTTGAGTTTTGCTTTTGACTGTGGGTAGATCTAGATATTACATTTTCCGTGTTTAAGGTCTAACCAGTATCAGTCAGTAACTTACTAGTTTAAAACTTAAAGTTCTAGTGGTATATCAAAAAAGTTTTAATACGCCAAACTGTAAGTTTCTAAAACTTTTATTTCCCAGCAAATCTCAAGGTAACAACAACAACAACGGGAGAAAAGTATTCAGAACAGAATTCGTACAGTAGCACAACCTGGTCATTTATAATTATGCTTTTGAACACAATTTTCTCCAGTGGTCCATACAAATGCGATGCCTGCTTCAGTAGCTAAAAGTCAATTTTACTTTACCTATTGAGCTACTTTGTCAGTAAATAAGTAATTCTACAGATTATAGGAACGCATATCTATTTCGTATGGTTCCAGATAGGAATGTATCACAGACCCAAAGCATAATTCTAGATCAGCTGATCGGCTGAAGGTGTTTAGCATAATGTCACTTTCCAGCTGATTTTACGAGCAGGGTTGCCACCTCACACTCACGCACACCACTTTCCCTCGCCCCCAGGCCTTACACGCATTCCTCACCAAATTTACCTTTGTCCCTCATTTACATAAGGTTGTTTTCTAATTTCACTCTCAATGTCACCGCCATAAATCCAACGAACCCTCCCAGTGAAATCCTTCGCTTAGAAAATAGGCGCGGGATTTTACACGTGCTTTCTTAACTTTCTTTGGCCGTCTGTTTTTGTGTGAGTAAGTACTGTGTCTGTAATATGCTCCTTGTTTAAGTGATCGGTCGTATAGGTAATGGACATAGTTCCCTATCATTAGGAAAACTCATATTTTGTTTAAGAATGAGGTGAAGAATGCTGTCCTGTCATTAGAATGTTAATGTTATTATGGCCTATTTAAAAACACCTCGTTTGCTTGCCAACTATTCCAGGATTCAAACCATAAGATTGCGAAAAGTTTTTTTTACAAATGACGTTGACTCACCACCGGAAGTTGCCAGTATTGTTGCACTTCTGTCACGTTGCACAACCTGCTTCCGGTGATACAGTGATTGAGGTGATGATAAAGTGCGTTCACCTCTCGCTGAAAACTGGAGGCGCTGCGACTTTGGTGGTCTTTGGTGTCAGTGCGTAGTTTGGGTGATCAGAGGCGTTTAGAGCTCTGGAGGAGCTTGTGGTCTTTGGAATTAGGAATTAGGACTCTATCACTGAGCTAGACAACAGGGTCACTGAATGAGAATTGCGAAACGGCCGTCATTTATACTAGGGGATAAAGCACATTTTACATAGCCTAGTAAATTTGAACTCGGTGATAGTGGGATTGTACATAAATAAAACCAAATGAGCTGATTCCCCTATAGTTGGTAACAACCTAACAAAATTACAGCAACCCCATTTTCTAGCG